ATGATAGAGTTTTGAGAACTTAAGATCACTGATGATGATAATAATATCAGAGGGTAGAGATATGACTAAGAACTGCATACAAGAAAAGGGCTATTGCAATCAAGTACAAAGTTTGCTGAAATTGTTAAGATGGTTAACTGCTTGAGTTGGGCTTTGAATTTTATGAAATTAATCAAACAAACCTTGTCCTCTTCCTCTTCATCAGGTGCATGATACGTGACCATAAAATGATTTAATAATTTCTGAACACCATCTTTAACAAGAAATCTTAATAAATCCATTAACAAATAATCAACAGCTTTTAAAAACGAGGCCATTCTGGCCAGTATCTTTCTCCATTTGGCTATTTCAGCATATAATGGCTTGTCTGCAAATATAAATTCTGAATAATAAAACCATTCCTTGATAAATAAGTTGTCTTTCTCAAAGTCACAAACTGGTATCAGGTGTTCCAGAAAGGTGTAATCATAAAACAAATCATGAGTAAAGCACATTAACAATTGCATCACCAATCAACATTATGCACTTACGCCATTTCATATATCAATCTTTCTGAAGTTCACATATGAACAATTCCTAACTTTGAATACCCATTGTGTATTGAAAATTTTCTATCTGAAATGTTATTATAACCAATTTGCAATTAAATGTGTGCTGAATTCAGAATACCTGAGAAACTCTAGTTAGATTAATACAGAATAAGACCTACTATTATCAGATTTAGACGGTTTAATATCTAGTAATGGAATAGCTCCTCTATTAGTTTTTAACTTGTATCTTGAAGTACGTCTACTTGTATCTGATGTGGGGTTTTCAATTCTTACTTTCTTCTCTCCATTATCAGGGTATATACCAGATTCTACCCCTTCCATTTCAGCTACTGCCTACAATAGATAACATGTATTTATCTACATTAGTGCTGGCATGATATATCGATGAATTGATGTATTAGGATACGATATGCTATGATCAACTAATTTCTGTTCTAGATGTGTGTTTACAATTATTGTCAAGTTAGAATCTGACATAATTTTTGGAGAATAATAATTCAGCCAATCATATGTTCTGTTCAGTAAAAGCTATGTATTTTATATGTTCAGAAATGTAGGATTGAATTATGTACTATCAAGACCGAATATCTATATACTTATAGTCTTCACAAGTTTATATTGGACCGATGGACATGTGTAACCATAATATACACATAATAATGTAGGCTTGTACAAAAATCTCTACTTACTGCACAGGACTGCCATACAATATCAATAACACTTTCTCTCAATAGATTGAGTTGATTTAAAGCTTTGTTACATTGGTTGATTTGTTTGGTTTTAAATTCTTCCAGGGTTAAAGTAAGAGATTTATCCAAGTCTACAAGTGTTATAATACTGTCTTCTTCCATATCTTTACCTCCATTTCTAGCCACCTCACATAATGTCTTCACATGGTATAAACATCCTTGTAGTACTTCATTAGCAGTGAATAGATTTTTAGCTAGGATCAATCTACAAGTCAAAAGTTTTTACATTTAAGTGTTTATTTTAAAAAAAAACCAAACCCACACATTCTATTCATATTTCACACAGGCTAAAAACGAGCTAGTCTATGGATAATCTTTTTGGTAATGATCATTCTTGGTTTATCATAATCCATGTAAATCTTGGGTTAAAAAAATTAAAAGATAAGTTTTTCAAGGTCATCTCACACCGAGAAAGAAGTCCAGTTCATTTTTCTTCAACATCTCAGTTAGCCAGAATCAAGGGAGTCCCTGATAAGAGGTTTGGAAACTGGTGAAGTACACCAATGGAGGCTGAAGAACCCTCTAGATTGGTTACTAAAGCTTCTGTCTTTGAGAAGCTAAAGGTATCATATCTATACAAATGATCTTTATGCAAAAAATTGACAGACGGACAAGGGACAAAGAGAAAACAACAAAAGAGTAAGTTTTTTTTTATTTTGAAGCAAACGCATATAATATATTAATTTAAACAATAATTATACAATTATACATTATACAAGACTGACACAACTTATAAGTGGTATAGGTTGGTGGCCAACCCACAACCTCATCTTTAAATGGTCATAACTCAGCTAATTTTGTCCCGAGAGGTATGATTTTTGTATCGAATGAAAGTTTAACATGTCCTGCGTCTATTTTGCAAAATCAACTTTGAAGATTCACCCTTATTTTCAAGAGGAAAATCGCTTGTATTTTTGTTTGAATCCAACAGATAAACATCTAATCAAATCCTTTGATCACAATTTCTGATTCTTCAATAAATGACACATGTTTTAAATTAAACATTGGTGGTTCTTTATAAACATAAGGTGGTTCAAGTGGTTTATCTATCTTCTTTCTATCAGGGTGGTGACACGTTGAGCAGACTGGTCGGACTATACCATAATCTTGTTTTCTACGAACTAGCTTATTATCATGTAGATA